GAGTATTTCTGTACTTTTTACTTTTTACTTTCAAGTTTTTGGTTTTTAGTTGTCATGTACACAAGTTTCATTTGTTTTATCCTTTACTTTTATCTCGGAGATGTTTGCTTTTTATTTTATTACTTTAAATACACACATTTTTCTTCGGATTCGACGTGCCGCTACTGATAACTTACCCGGGACTAAATAACTCACGATTAATAAATACTAGCAGGTTTAAGACTCTATTAGTGAATTTTTTAATAAACAACTTTTGTTTTTTAGGAAAAAAATTTTTTTTTCATTAAATCAATTAATGTTACCTTAAGTACACATCTTGACGAACAAAATGACCTATTAAAAGTTTAATTTGAACCACCAGAAAAATTAAAAAAATTAGAATAGCCAAATTTGCCGAAATTCGCTATTTTTTTTTAAGTAACTTTCGTTTTTTGGGATTTTTTTGGAGGAAAAAAATTTTTTTAATAAGCATCAATGGTTGTACCTTAAATAAAATAGACACTTGAACGGGTAAAATGAGCTATAGCAAAGTTAAAAAATAAAAAGGATGTCCTGAAGGGAATCAAATGGCGCCTACATATCCTGTTTGAGAGTTTAAACCGATGAGATCTGAACTTCTAAGTGATTGCTCTATTGGGATGGTAAGAGATATATCTGCATAACATAGTAGAGTCCGATTAAAGATGCGGAGAGTGATTGGCCGGTATCTTATCTGCGTGGGATGGCTCTGTTTAATAGGAAGAAAGAGTTTGAGTAGTTAAACTGCACCGCCCATTATTTGTTGTTATTAAATAACAATATTCAGGGTGATTTCATTTGCCGATTCTCGGTATTCTTCTTTCAAGCCAATGACGATGATGATGATGATGATGATGATGATGATGATGACACAGTACAGAGGTCTGCTGCCGTATTAGAGAACGGCTAATTTCCATCCTTCTATATTAGCCGGATTATTTTGTTTATATGTGTGCGAGCAATCTTAAGAGGATAAGCCGCAAAGGCGAAACAATTTTAAAGGAGCGAACGAAACAGAATCCTTTGGCTGTAGATGGACTCGAGGAACTCTTAAAGTGCCGCGGTCTTTCGATAATTAGAGGGCGGCTATTGTTACCTTCTCCTGAAAGACCATAGGCCAGCCAGAGAGGAGAAGGGGCCTGAACAAAGTGGAAAAAGAGATTATGAGAAGTATCAAGGGACGATGGATACCTTACTGCTGATGCTGATGCTTCTGCTCCAGTCCCACTCAAATATTACTAACGCAAAAAATACATAATCATCATAAACAATAAAAATATCTGGCATTACCCTTTTACAGGTCCACCCAGTGGATACTATATTCACCAAAAAATTTATTGACCAAAGTTATATTGCTGCTTTTTGTTATTCTGAGTTTTCTGCTACAACTGGGTGGGTTTGTTTATAAATAATGGGTGTGGTAGTGATTACACTTTTGCCTCAGCCGCTTAAATATTTTGATAACCTATATTTTATATTATTTTGTAGGATAGATTTATTTATGATTTAGTTTTGAGAATTTAGAAATTTCAATTTGGATTTTTTTAAGGTTCCTTAGGTGATAAGGTAAAAATTTTTTTCCCCAAAAATATCCCAAAAAACTAAAGTTACTTTAAAAAAATTGCATATTTCTGCAATAATTATGTTTTTAAAATTCAACAATGATCTTTTGAGGGTTGCCGTAATCAAAAATCCTTTTATTATTATGTATGGCTCATTTTGTTCGTTGAGATATCTTCTTTAAGGTCTATCTATTGATTTAAGCAAAAAAAAATTTTGTTGATCGAAAAAAATCCCGAAAAACAAAAATAATTTTTCAGTAAACTGACTACGGTGATTAATAATCGGTAACTTATCGGTAAATTAACCAAATTTTTAAATAACTTTTTGTTTGGAAATCAATTAAAATTCTTTTAACTTAATTATTGTCATAAACGAAGCGAATTAAGATTGGCTGTAAATGAAAGCATAAAGGAATAAAAAAAAGAACTCACCCGAAAAATAGCCGGCGAATGATCACCATGACGCTGATTTTTTTCATCACATTCTCTATCTTCCTCATTTACATTCCCATGTATCACAATTAAATGAATCATTAGTAAATAGAGACTTAAATAATGTAAAATATTTGTAATCTTTCAGCAGTGAGACTCAACCGAAATCGGTTTACCGGTTCTCAGTAACCGAAACAAACTTTATTCGAAATTGATTAATTCCTACGGTTTTATTCAAATGAAACGTTAAATTTTAATAAAACACTGATGATAATTGCCCCAGGTATAAGCTCGCTCTGATAACAGGTTTCTCCTTTAAGTAAAACTGAGCGCCTGCGCAAGTTACCGGGTTTCGAGGTCGTAAAGATAATGCCCACCATCGCTTCTTACTAATAATTTAATATACCGTGTAATCTAGATTTGCCGGCTCAAATAATTATTTTTTTGTCAGCAAACCCCGAACTCCTCTTCCTTCTCTTTCTACCTCGAGAATTAGCAAACTCGATGGATTATGAATTATTCATACACATCTTCCGTAAGTACTAACAAGATCACCGTTTTATTTTTTTAAAATCCAATTAAAACTGTCTTTTCTCACATCAATTGCTCTCTTCTTCAAATTTTATCTCTTTTTCACTTTTAATCTTTCCAGCTTCCTGGAATCCAAATCCTATTCATTGTAGTTTATTTTGTTCGTTGAAATGTCTACTTTAAGGTCTCATCATTGTTTTTATTAAAAAAAAAAATTTATTTCATCAAAATCAATGACTGTACCTTAAAGTAGACATCTCAACGAACAAAATGATCTGTAATAAAAGTAATTTTGATCATGGGAACAATTAAGAAAAAATAATTGAATTAAGAATTCCTGAAATTCGTAAATTTATCAGTAATTATCTGTAAGATTGATGTCAGGTAATCACCGTGTCTGAGACGTCTTGCGGCGAATGAGTATCAGACGTTAATTGATCGATGTAATTACGAATTAAGGACGCAAAGTATTAATTATCAATAACACGTTGTTCTAAAAAAAGAAAATTGTTGATTGGAAAAAATGAGACTAATAAAATTAGTGGAGTTAAATGATCGGAGTTATACTGGAATTAATAGTGGTAAAATGAGGTCCGGGGCCGGTACCTAATAAGTCTTGGAGTACATAGATGTACTTGTATATTCTCAATACGAATGTTGTCTTGGTACGCGCCTACGCTTTAAACGTGTCTCAAAGCGCCGCCTGGTAATATATTTCCAATGGCATCAACCAGCCAGCATCATGGATCGTGGTATCGCCCAGGTATGGTATGAGTAAGAGCATATCGAGTTATTAAAACCCTTTTTAACCAGGACATTCACATTGTACTCCATAATCCATACTTACATACTTACATACTTCGTGGTCTATAGTCCTCATGTCATGTACAATCTCCTCCATTGATATCATTAGCATTCACGTAACATGGACCTTCCCTTTCTTCCGCCGAATCTTCTTCTGCTTTCTTTTCTTCTTCAGAAATTCTACCGATAAATACGTTCATGCTAATGACTCGGTAATTACAAGTATACTTTATTTATTTGTACATACGAACAACAGATCAATTATTGTTCAATATTTCATTTCTCAACAAGAATTTTTGTGATTTTGGGGAGTTTGAGTTTTGAATTAAGATTTTTTTTATTGTTACCGTGGTACAACATAAAGTTGTTATATAGATCATTTTGTGTTGTTAGAGTGTCTACTTTAAGGTGCAATAATTGATTTTAACAAAAAAAATTTATTTCCCAAAAAAAAAAAAAAATCATAAAAAACCAAAGTTACTTAAAAAAAACCGCGAATTTCGGCAAAATTCACTTTTTAAAGTTTTCAATAATTTTTTTTTAATTGTTTTATTTAATTTTATCTAATTTATTATAGGTCATTTTATTCGTTGAAATATCTACTTTGAGGTACATTCATTGATTTTCATCAAAAAAATTTTTTTCCCCAAAAAACTAAAGTTACTTTCAAAAAACCGTAAATTTCTGCAAAATTCACTTTTATAATTTTCAATATTATATTTCAAATTGTTCCCGCTGTCAAAAATACACTTATTATAGCTCATTTTGTTCGTTGAAAAGTTTTCTATAAACTACAACCATCAATTTTACTAAAAAAAAAAATGTCTTCATCCAATAGATCCCAAAAAACCAAAGTAACTTTAAAAAAAATCGCATTTTTCGGTATAAATAACCTCGGTTATTAATCCCCGGTAAATTAGCCGTATATTATCTTACCTTATAGCTTAAAATCTCTCTTCTTCATCCCTCGCAAGATGTTCTTGCTTTACAAATCACCCTCCATCAATCTTCGATCGATAAACTTTGTCTATTGGTCTTGTAACATGTAAATCAATTGTTTATTAATTAACAACTTATACAAGACAATTACACTCCATAAAATAAATTAATTAATACATAACCTAAAGCATAAAATCTACAATAAAAAAAATAAAGTTTTATCTTCTATTGGCATGCTCCATTGAGCGAAGGCTTAATAGTTTTATCCGTGTGTCTACGGTCGATTAATCCGTGAGTTACAGGTAGAGTATATTATTATACCCCGTAAAATATACACCGTAATTTACTCGATAACATATTAACATATATGTTTATTATATATTCAATATAATAATAGTAAAAAAATAGTAAACAATTATCTGAAAGGTAACCTATTACTTATCGAATTAAAATCCCCGGTAATTCATTATTGCTTATTGAACATTGAATTTGGCGATTTATATTACATTATATTATAATTTATAATTATCGATTAAGCTATCTACCGAACAACATAACCGCAATTGAATTCTTAAACACAACTTTAAAGGCAGGCCGTAAATTAGCGACTCTGTCTATGCAATCACGCGTAAAGATTCAAGCCCAAGTGCCTGATAACAATTTTATTCTTTTTTTTTTCTTTTTAATTCGAGATTATTCCAGGTTATAAATAAATTAATCCGGCAACGGAACGATTCCGATGGGATTCCCATCTTGATTAAGAGTTATTCCCATCTCCCGAATAACCTCTGTATCGATGAATCGAATCTTTTGGGAGTTTCTGATTAATTCTTGGTTCGCTGGATTATTCTCCAGGAGATTCCTGATCGCCAGGATGCCCCACTGCATTATTACTGGATATTGTGGTCAAGGAAATAAATTAATAAATTCTAAGGGAAGTTTTAAATAATCATTGATCAGCGATTTAAAGAATAATAATAATTAACGATTTGAAAAGGATACGTGGATTGCGAGCGTCGATGTTGCAGCAGTCTAAAATCAGCGACATTCCGTCCAGTTCTTGCACCTGGAAATATTTTTTTACTTGTTTAGTTACTGGGGTACGCGAGCGCGGCGCCACTTGCTGGGAAGCTTCTTTATCGATGGATAGTTTATGATTTTTAATTTTTTAGAGAAAACTGGTATTTTTTTTTGTATTATTCTAGTGATCTAAAATATACTAATTATAGATCATTTTGTTCGTTAGAATGTCTACTTTAAGGTACAACCATTGATTTTTATCAAAAAACCAAAATTACTTTTAAAAATTTCTACTTACTTTATCTTGGTTAGCTCGATTCTTATAAACATCATTAGCAATAAACCTAACAAGAGAACTCTTGAACCCAAAAGCAACATGACTTTCAATAGCCTCTCTGTCAGAATTGTTACTAGGCGCAACTTGAGCTAATTTTTGCAGTGGAGTAAAATTATTTGAAGATGACTTCCCTGCCATGTGGATTGCCTTCAGGAGAACTGAAAGACAATTTAAAAAAATTAAAAATTATTAATAACTAATTTTGATCTACAATTACAAAAAAAAATATAATTACAAACAACATTGATCAGCAAACTAGCATCCCGCTTAACAATCTCCAACTCACAACTCAGCGTCCCCAAAATATCCAGCAAAATAATAACCTCCGCAGGTTCCTTCATCTGTTCTTTAACATACGACTCCTCAGTCTTCAATATCAAGTTGCTTCTTTCTTTAAACCTCTTTATCAAGAACAAAACCGTGTCCTCGGGCAGAAAAAAATCCTCCATTTTCTCCAACTCATTGTTGACCAACTTGCAAACAAGCTCCAAGAAATACAACCTGGAATCAAGACTCAAGTCCTCGTAGCTTCTCACAAAGGCGTCTTTTTTAATGAGAATCATCAGCGAGTCTCTAGCAGCCTTGAAACCGCATTCATCAGCCTTGAGCAACCCTTCAGTGATTTCCACCAAGTTCTGGACATCAAAATGCCTGTACCAGGTGTTCATGATGTTATGAGTCAAGCAGCAGGCTCTAATAACAATTCCATCCTCTTTGCAATTCATCAGCAGCTTCCTGAAATTCCATTCTTGATTAATAACTATAATTGTTCGTTAAAATTTATTTTTAAAATTACCCGAGGAGATTAATTGCTTTCTCACGATAGGACTCATCAAGTAAATTGTCATCGTTATAAGCTAGCATGTTGCATAGGAATGACAGAGATTCTTTGATGATATTAATTTCATCAGGGCTCTCCAAGATGGCTATCAAGTTGTCAATTGTCCATTTTGTGACTTTGTCAAACGGAAAACATGATGTTGGGTAGTTAGGGTCGAATCCTTCTGAGAATATTGAAGAGTAATTCTTTTTATAAGGCTTGTGATGATACTCGATGTCTCTTATGCAAGCTAGCTTGAAGCATTTCAATATTGTCACTTTTATTGGACTTGGAATTTCTTTTTTTGATAAACAGGCGCCGAGTTTTGCGAGAATTCTTCGATTTTTTTTCCTGTAACAATTTTTAATAAATAAATTGCTTGAAAAAAAATTTTGGGTCTAAAAAATCATACATGCAATATAACATTAAATTTAGCTGTTAATTTTCTTAAATAAATTATGGCAAAAAAAAAATTATTAAAAAAATGGACTTGTAAAAGTTTTAATAAATTAAAAATGCGATTTTTTAAATATAATTTTTTTGTTAAAGAAAATTAAAAAATTGTCAAGTGAAAAATAAATTAAAAGACCCTATTTGATAATTTTAAGAATTTTTTTAACAAATAAAAAATGCAATTTTTTAAAAATAATGTTTTAGAAACAATCTATTAGCTAGATAGAAAAAATTAAAAAATGGTTAAGTGATTGCTAACTTTAGTATCATCTATAAAAAATAAAAAAAATTATAAATATTTACCCATTTTCTTCATTAGGAAAGTTTTTAATATTAAAAACATTATAAAACTCTTCCCAACAACAATTTTCCTCAATATAATTTAATTTCTCCAATAATTCCATGTTTGTTTACGTTTTTCCACGTGAAATAACCAACTCAGCCTTTAAAGCGTCGTAAAAGCGGGTTTCTAACTTACTGGCGGTAGTAAGCTAGGGTATTTCCCTAAATTCTGTCGCGCAGTCGCCAGAAAGTTCCGCGGGAAATTTAAACGAGCCAATGAGAATTGTTAAATTAAATAAATTCAAATCTACAAGTGGCGCTGCGGGTTTAGTTTTTATGAAGCTTCATTCTGCTACTCATTTGGTTATTATACACTTTATGCTTACTTATTGAATGACTGGCGTTTGTCATAAATAACAATTGTAATATTTCTGTAATTACGCGTTTTAAAACTAAAACAATTTGAGGTAATATTAAATTTAAATTAAAAATAAATAATTAAATAATAGTTTATAATAAATTTTAAGTTTTAAGTTTTAAAATTTGTAAAAAATAATTTGACAAATTTCTAACCTTAAAAATAAAATTAATTATAAATAAATATTTAGATAAATAATAATAATAAATTTTAATTTTTAACTTTTAAAAAAATAATTTAACAATTTTTTAGCCTTAAAAAAAAAATTATTAATTACAACAATTATTTTAAAGTATTATTATTATCATTAATAATAATAATATTTTCCTTAACTCCAAAAATTAATAAGTTGCAAAATTTATGCGTAGTTTCCAAAAGTTTAAAAGTTTATTATTAATTTACAAGTTATTTTTTAGACAGAAAAAAAATAAACCAGTATCTCAAGACTAAATACCAAAGAAAGTGAAACTCGTTACCCTTTTTCTATGACGTAATAACCTATTAACCGACAATAATGAATTGCACATATGCAGCAACATCCTCAATATAACAATCCGCCATCTCATGGCTCATGTAACCGCTGACGGCCATCTTGCAAACAAGGAAATTAGTATTTCCTGATTGCCATAGAAAACTGGAAGCATATATGAGAACATATATACTAGAGTCGCATGACAGGAATTGTCAAACCTCTCTCAACTTTCACATCGCAAATATTTATAACATTTACTGACGAAAGCTGCCGTAAATAATAAACTGCTCTTATAAAATCAATATCCGGAAATTTAAATTGCTGTTAATAATAAATATTAAACAATAATAATATAAACAAAGTATAATTAACCATATGCTGAAGATAAGTTCCTTTCACTGGTGATATCTCGGATTATCATAGATCATAGATCTGCACGCTTACATCTTGCCAATTAACAATTACTATTTACAGATTGTATCTAAGATCTACAATTCTATTCACGCTCTGACTGTTTAATTTCAGTGTGTAAGAATAGTGAAAGCATTACATTATGACCATACTTTCCAATAATAACCCTTTTACTGATATTTTTATTTTTCAGAATTATAATTCTACACTTCAAACTTCCCGCCAAAAATAACAACATTTTGCCAATTTTTAAATTTAAAATTCAAAAAATCCCGCCAACTTTATAGACCCAAAATGGCCGCTTTGGAACTAAACAGCTGATTTCTCCTCAGTTTTAACAAAATTTCGTCAATTAAAATTAAACGGCTGAAAATTAACCTCTGAAATTTTGCAGAGACCTTTTTTAAAGTCCCCCGAAGCTAGAAAAAAAATTTCCGATTAATTTACAAATTTTTAAAGGTCAAATTTAATTCTTTAAAAATTTGAGGTGTAAGTATTAATTTTTAATAATTAATATATTAAATTTTTTTTGCAAAAATTTCTTTCTTCACAATATAAATTTAAAAAAGTTACTATAGCGCCATCAGCAACTATACAAAATGGCCGCTACGAGACAAACAGCTGATTTCTTCCCAGTTTTACCAGAATTTTAATTAAAATTAACCTCTGAAAATAAAATTAATAAATTAAATCACCTGAAGCAAAAAAAAAAAAAACCACTAAAATTGAAATAAAAATCTCTTTATTAATACAAAAATAAATCCTCAGGTACCAAACTCGAACAATATAAATTTACACTTAACCTCGAGTTTCCTTAAATCACAAACAAAATTAATAGCCATTAATTTCATAAACTATCTCATAAAAATAACTTAAAAATAAATTGCCCTAGTTTTTCAGTGATAACCTCCATACCCATGACTTTCATGGCCATGGCTCTCATGTCCGCCATCTTGTCCATACCCAGAAGAAGGTTCAAAGCCGCCTTCATGATGGTGCTCCTCTTCATGATGTTGGTGTTCCTGCTGATGAACAGTGTGGTGCTCATGATGAACATGCACAGGATACGGAACAGGAACCTTGACAGGATACGGAACCTCCTTTTCCACTGGAACAGGAACCTTCTTCTCAATAAAGTAAGGCTTATCCACCGGAACCTTAACTGGATACGGAACAGGTTTCTCCACATGCACCGGATAAGGTTTGTGAACGGTGTACGGCTGCGGAACAGGAACCTTAACCGGATACGGAACATGTTTCTCAACATGAACTGGGTAGGGCTTGTCCACAGGAACCTTGACCTCATAAGGCACCGGTTTGTCAACAGGAACCGGGTAGGGCTTCTCGACAGTCACTGGGTAAGGCTTGGGCACATGAACCGGGTAGGGCCGATCCACATGAACCTTAACTTCGTACGGAACATGTTTCTCTACGGTGTACGGCGCAGGAACCGGCACTTTAACCTTAACCGGGTACGGAACGTGTTTTTCCACGGTGTAAGGCTGCGGAACAGGAACCTTTACGTGCACCGGAACGTGTTTTTCCACGGTGTAAGGCTGCGGAACGTAGACCTTTACTTCGTACGGCTTATCCACTGGAACCTTAACTTCGTACGGAATTTTCTTCTCTACGGTGTACGGCTGCGGAACGTGGACCGGAACCTTTACGAAGACCTTAACCGGGTACGGAACGTGTTTCTCTACGGTGTAGGGCTGCGGAACGTTGACCTTGACTTCGTACGGAACGTGTTTCTCCACTACGTACGGAACGTGCTTGGTAACTTCGTACGGAACCGGAATTTTTTTCTCTACGGTGATAGTCTTAACGTGTTCCTCGTGGGGATGGTCCCAACTGCCGCCGTAACTTCCAAAATCTCCATAACTGCTATGGAGGCCGCGCTTTTCCGTCTTTTTCTCCACCTGGGCGTTCTGCGAATCCGACGTTGGGGAATCCTCGGCTTTTTTATCTTCGGCTAATGCCACGGCCAAAATGGCCACCAAGATGAGGACCTAAATAATTTTTAAGGTTATTAATTGTGTATTAAAATGGAATTATTGATTTGTTTCAGGAACTTACCTTCATTTTGCGGCTGTGTGCTACCGTGGCGCTTAACCACGACTGAACCGCTTCCTTTTGTAAGCGCTGGTTTATATACGCCGGCTAGCACTTTCCCTGGACGGTTCTACTGTACTGTTTCTACTGAGTAGTATGGGTAAGTACCCAGTATGAGTTTGCTTTTATTTTTATTTGGATTTGAGAGATAGATATGTAGATTTCGCAATGAGAATAATTGGAGCAAATGGGCAATGTCATTTTGAATTTGATTGTTGGTTGTTTGTTTATTTGTTTGTTTGTTGCGTTGCGTTGGGTGGTTTGCTGTGGCGGAATAACGAAAGTTGGATTAGAAATTTTTATGGAAGTGTTGCTTGTGGGAAAATTTTTAATAGTGATAATTAGTGACGGGTAATGTGACAATGATGTAAGGTTTGGGCTAGAGAGGGAGATTAGTGCCGTAATTTAAGGAAATTTTTTGGTTAAGAAATTATTGCCAGTTTTATAGGGGAAAATTTAAGTTGTAAAAGGTTATTTTGTTCGTTGAAATGTCTTCTTAAAGGTACATTCATTAATTAATCTGAAAAAAAAAAATTTAAAACATGAAAAAATCCCAAAAAACAAAAGTTACTGTAAAAAATCACGAAAATTGAATTTTTTATTAATATAAATTTTAATTATTAAATTAATGATAAAAAAATAAAAGTACAATCGGGCGTAAGGATTTTTTATATCCCATAACTATAAAAGTAAATAATTAAATTACCTAAAAAAAAAAAAAAAGATAATGATTAGAGTATGGATATTGTATAATTAGTCATGACAAATGGTGTATAAAAAATAATCGAAAGTCACGGTGAAATTAGTAAATCTAGTATAACCAGTTTAAAAATTGGCAATCAAGCCCGTGAATAAATTTTAAAAAAATTAATTGACTCGAGACAAAACTTTAGCCCGTTGTTGGTGGCAAGCCCCGGAAATATTGTGTACCGTGGAAATAATGGCCCTGTCGTAATAGATTAACCATAGATGTATTCTCTATTATACTACTCTATGAACTACACACACGTTAATCGAGGATTTAGTTGCCGATGCTTGGATGGTTCAGGTGAGAGCTACTTTTACAAGTTCTATGTACCGACGCTCTACACTGCATAACTGAGACATTAATCATTTTTTTCTTCCTCCTTTTGCAGACCCAAACACTATCATCAGCTGGGAACTTTATTCTTTAACTACAAAAACAGTCAGACACGTAAGTCAGTATATTTTTAATTAATTCATTATTTCACCAAAAAAATTTGCTAATTTTCGAGGTTTACTTTTCTTTTTTGTGTTTTAAATTTTTTCTAGGTGTAAATTTAATGGTTCTATCTTAAAGAAGACATTTGAACTAACAATATAAGATATAATAAGTCGAGTTTTAATATTTAAAAAATTAAAAAAAAAACAAGATTGAAAATTAGAAAACTTAATTTTTGCACAATATCGTAGTTTTCTTGAGTTTTTTTTTTTATTTTTTAGGATTTTTTCTATGAATAAAATTTTTTTTAGAAAAATTAATGGTTGTTACCTTAAAGTAGACATTTCAACGAATATAACGACCCATAACAAATTGAATTTCCATATCGAGAAAGTGAAAAAAAAAAATAAGATCAATATACTTAAAAACCTTAATTTTGGCAGAATCCCGCAGTTTTCTTAAGCTTTTTTGATTTTTTTTGATTTTTTCTATGAATAAAATTTTTTTTTAGGAAAATCAATGATTGTACCTTTAAGTAGACATTATAACGAACAAAATGACCTATTAAAAATTAATTTTTACCCTGAGTAGTTACTCGCCTCAGCTCAAAAAAAATTCCTAAAAAAATCAGCGCGCAATATGACTATTTCTCAACTGCGGAATAGTCATATTGATGTCCACGTGATACCGTTTATGTTGCATGTGAGCAGGCCATTTTTGTGGATCTAGATAGCGGCACTTTTGAGTGATTAATCTTAGCACTATCCGCCGTCCCAGGCGTCATATCCACGTAAAATTTTCAACAGTGAGACGAAATAAAAATTCGGAAAAAAAAACGTATATTTTAATTATTATTGTTTTATTTACAAAAAAGGACGACAATAATTATATCATTTAATTGGGTGTGGATTGAAGGTATTTAAAACTGAAAATCGCGGATCGGAATATGCGTGCCGGTGTAATTGGAAACTTTTACATTGCGTGCTGAGCGCGAGTCGCCGAGCCGTGAATCCAAAGGTTTCTATACAGGTATGAGTAAGTGCAATATAATATAATATATCTATCTCGGAATACGGTACCTCTTACTTGTAATGTAAGTTGAGTTGTATGTAAAAAATAAGCCGTTTACGTTGCTTGTTTTATTGTACTTATTTTCAGGAGCTCAATGAATGAATGAGTTTACTTATTTGGCCGTCGTGCTCGTGAATTATGATTATGATCGAGGAAAATCAGCCACCGATATCCGGAAATATTGACGAGGTGATATAAATCGCGGAGGATATATTATATTAATGGAAAGCCGGGCATCGAGAGTGAAACCGATAGGAGTGGATGCTTTTATTGAGCATGTGAAAGTGAATTCGAGTTAACTGATTATTTTATTTTGAATATTATTGCGTTTTTTGCTGAGGCTGATAAATTAATTATGTTTTCATAACCACCTTAAATTAACTGCTAAGTGCTTCCGGAGCTGTCTCATGTGTACTGTCGCTTCTTTTTTTTTTTTATTGGGTTACATAATCAATTTATTTTTTGCTATGAATTTTAGCGACTGAACACTTTTGATTTCTTTAATGTTCTTAAAGTTGAATAATTTTTTTCGACCAGTTTCCGTGGTTCAAAATGCTTTTTTTATAGCTCATTTTTTTCGTTGAAATGTCTACTTAAAGGCCCTATCATTTTGGTTAGTTTGAAAAAAATTTTTTATTCATCAAAAAAATCCTAAAAAATAGAGTTGCATCTCAAAATTTTCAAATTTCAGTAAAAACGATGTTTTTAAAATTCAATATTTTTTTTCAAACTGTTTCTGAGACCAATAATACTTTTATTATAGGTCATCTTATTTGTTGAAATGTCTACTTTAAGGTACATTAATTGATTGTCATCAAAAAAATTTTTTTCCTCAAAAAATCACAAAAAACTAAAGTTTTAAAATTCAATATTGATCTTTTGAGGGTTGCCGTGATCAAAAATACTTTTATTATAGCTCATCTTATTCGTTAAAATGTCTACTTTAAGACCCTACCATTGATTTGCCTTAAAAAAATTTCCTTCATTGAAAAAAATCCTAAAAAACCTTCTCTCCCTTTAAAATCATCTCAATTCCAAGCAAAACTTTCAATGTTTTTTACCAGAGTCGCTTCTAAAGAACTTCTCACTCAATTAATCGGATAACTAAACCAGTAAAAAAGTTAATTGGTTAATTGAAAAACACATAAGGACATAGTATGCAGCCAGGAGGACGTGTAGTCGATAATTGGGTATCGGATCGGATACTACAAGCCCGATGTCGGTAGTATACTTAACCGAGCAGAGTGCCTACATTGAATCAAACATGAAGATAATCGCGACACCTTGTCATATATCAGAGAACGTGTATTACCTTCACCTCAGATTACATGAGTGCGGAACTTGGTAATTATTATCTTTAACAAATAATACAACAAACGCGTACACCGCATTGATTCCTCATGAATTAAAAAATTTTTTCTTTAGTTTTTGTTGGACAATTGCGGTTAGAAGATCGAGATTTTCAAGAAGATTAGGCGAAGATATTTTCAAACGGTCGACAAGTACTTGCTTGCTGAGAATAATAAGAAAGAAGTTGGTTGGGTAATAATAATATTGAAAAAGAAGTCACGAACCCCGATGGAAGGCACGCGCCTTTCTTTTCTTCGAGATTTTGGGATTAGGCCGAAGATCGCTGGTGAAACTATTTGCAAGAGCCTCCAAGCTGTTTGCAGGTGCAAGTCAGGCTACCAGGAAGACTAAAAAAAAAACGAGGATGGACAAAGAATATAGGGACAAATTACCTGTTCTTAACACTCTAAAGGTAATCGTGATTAGTATTGTCTTTATCGGTACGTGTCGAACAGAGATCTCTGATACTGCAGGTGCCGGGTTTTCCGTTTTCAGTTGTCACTATTATGTGGGATAGAACGGAAGTTTGATGTTGGGAAAATGGATGACGTGGCGAAATTACGAGTCAGGGAGTTGCTCAATTTAATAGACGGCTTTCAGTGACTATTAGTGGTGTGTAATCATAGATGAGTTTTTGAGGACTGGAATTATGGTTGGAGATCCTTCGGAGATAAATGCTTCTATTGGTGAATGTTTTAAGGTTATTTTATTATTTTATACGGTGCTAGAATTACGTAATGTTAAGAAACGAATTTTTCTAATTTTTCTAACTTCCCGATATAAAAATTCAACTTATAAATAATAGCTCATTTTATTCATTGAAATGTCTACTTTAAGGAACATTGATTAGTTTTGCTAAAAAAAAATTTTTTTCATTGAAAAAATCCTAAAAATTCCAAGAAAGTTAAAAAAAACTGCTGTAATAGGCAAAAATTAACTTCAATCTTCAACGTTTAATTTTTTAACTTTATGATATCAAAATTCAATTTGCTGTAGGTCATTTTGTCCATCAAGTCGCCTTTTTTGAAGTACACCCATTAATTCCCTTCAAAAAAATTTTATTCCCCAAAAAACTCACGGAAAAAAAATATTTTGCATAACCCTTTAGCTTACCCAATTACCTCAATAAAAAATACAAAGCAATAATTTTCTAAAACTCAGGAAAGATAATTAGGACGAAATAGGCCCGTAATAGCCTGGCCGTCTACTTGACCAAAATATTAATCGTAAATCAGTAAAAAACCAATAAACCTTTTTATTACTGGATCGTAACCTCTTGCATTGGAACTGCGAGCTCCTCGGGCTCAAGCATGTTCCCTGTAATCCTTGATCAGCTAATGTCCTTAATAGCCACGAGGTTGATCGTTAATAACAGTCTGATATGATATTAGAGTCGAGGACGATCCACGAGAAAGTA